GGTGTAATGGACAGGTGTGTGTCTCTATTTTACTCATCCTCATAAGATGGATGCAGTGTGGTCATGCAATGACATTGTGGCGTAAAATGGAGCATGTTCATTCTTTCCTGTCTTTGCTAAACTATTTTTACAGACTCTAAATTGGTTCACAGTTTACAGTTGCAACATTCTGTAAAGGTCAGAACTGTAAAAACTATTTTTACAATGAGTTGTTACCATTTAGTGATCTAAATATTAAAGTTATAGTCATATAAAGTCATATATTTCCAACGTATTGGAGACATGTAGGTCTAATGTGGCTCTGAACATAGAAACAGCACTCACTTCCTCAGGGAGTATAGTTAAAATAGAGAAAGAGGGCAAGATATATTTCCAAGATATTGGAGACATGTAGGTCTAATGTGGCTCTGAACATAGAAACAGCACTCACTTCCTCAGGGAGTATAGTTAAAATAGAGAAAGAGGGCAAGAGAGAGAGCTTGTGTTTTGTATGGTACAGTCTTAATCCTTATATGATAGCAGTTCCAGCCACTTTATTTCTCTCATCCATCATATATAAAATTATTTTATATTTGTATACCGTTCAAAAGTTTGAAATGTGAATTCTTTAGAATTTTCTATTCATCAAAGGAAAAAAAGTATCACTGTTAATACAAAAATATTAAGCAGCATAATGGTTTTTAGATTGATAATAATTAGAAATGTTTCTAAATCAGCATATTAGTGTGGGCCAGTTGAGAAAGGTTTGCACAGTTATTTTCACTTTTTCTTTCCTCTACTAAAGTAAATAGAGTTCACAGAAACTGATTGTTTCAACTTGTTTCCTAATGTAATTTATGAATATGTATTGTGCTGATTGTGAGTATGCAATTTTACAAGGAAATTAAGTCTGAAGTCTTAAATGAGTCAAAACGTTTCATAAACTATTTACAGTACGTAATGTTTTACAGCTCGCTGGGTCGCCCCTGCCCCCAGCTTCCCTTTCCAGAGGACCGAACGGGATCCTATCTCAATTTTCCATTCACTGCTCCAAGTTTCCATCCCTCTTTTTTTCACCACATCCATTTTCCCCCAAGCCGTAGCACAATACTTAGCATGTATGTGCTCTGTTTTTATGTCTACGGTGGTGGTTGTGATCATACTGTTGTTGTAAATCTCATGAAGAGAGTTTCAATCAAATTTCATCAGCTAAACCAAAAGGGGCTGGCAGCCTTTCCCGTCTCCATACGCTGTTGAATGAGCTACATTCTGGCACTCGTGATCCATAACAATAATTAGTTTTGATGATTCATCTCACCAGAAGGGATCAGAGAGAGGAATTGATTTGGCATAAGGCTTGTTAGGGTTTGAGCTGTTTTTTTTTTTGTGTCCATAAATTATTATTATTTTTTTCCCTCTGGACAGAAGAAAATTTAGTTGCTGTTACAGATGCAGATTTCATTGTCAAGCTGTTAGCTATGAGCAATATAGAGTTTCAATCAGATAGCACATACTATCAAAATACTTCTACTGTTTTTTTTTTCTGAAGATATTATGGCTTATATATATTATGGCATATATATAGCTGAAAATTATTAGATTTCTGTTTTTATTTATAATTTATTATTTGTTATTCAAACTTTAAAATGCATATATAATTAGGCTAATCATTTAATTGACATATTTATTTCACCCTCAGCTGAACCTGTAATAAGAGCTATCAGCGAAACAGATCTGGCCAACACATATTTGCATTCTGGAGAAAGTCAGAGGTTTCTATATACAGTGTGTTTTTGCAGCATTGAGCAATGTAGCCAATCACAGACATGTTGATTTCTTGAACGCAATGGCCAGTCAGAAGTGTTTAAGTCAGAATCCACTGACCATTCAAAACACCAACGTTTTTGTTCAAAGCTTAGTTTTCATTTCAATAAAGTGTTGACACGATATAAGAGATTCATTGTGTAGTGTAGAGTGCTTGATTATAATGGAACTATGTGAGAAACTTTAACTCTAAATGACAGGCTGATAGGTCTGCTAGTAATCACATTGTTATCTACACAGCACAGCTGATTGGTTCATCACATGAACAGCCAATGAGCTTGCTGCTTAACATTCAAATACTTGAGTGTTCGCTGTAGCAGTTTGCAGCATGCTTTCAGAAACCCTCCACCTTCCCCAGCTCCACCTGTATAGATCTGCTATGTTATATGTGCAGCAGCGGTATACATTACATACTCTCAACAGCATGTCTGTGGATGCATTGGGAGTTTTTCGCAGCTGCAGCAGCGTGGCAGAACTGTTCCGCCAAGACCAAATACATTAACATTGCCATATATATTACCATGCTAATCTTTCCAAGAGTTGTCATGACAGAACTAAAATGATTGACAGATTTTTTTTATTATAAAGGGAGCGCTCTTTGCATTCTTTCTAGGTTATATGTAATCCATTTAGAATTTGAATTCTATATAAAGTTTACCTGCGTGTAAGTTTAAGAGTGTGTGAGTGACATATCCATGCAGTGCTATTGTTTGATACATTCATATAGCATCAATATGCTCATACCAGTCTTGCCTTAAGCTGAGGCCTCTGGTGGTTGGCCCTCATGGCTAAATATACTGCCTTTCCTCACGTGGTTCTTCTTCTCAGATTACATTGTTTTTTTTTTAAAAGAAAATGTTCCCACTAAAACCGGTCAAATTCATCACCCTCCAGCAAGAGGGAATTTTCAGCAGCACCTTGTTTTGTGTGTGCGGTGGTTTGTGTTTTATGCTGCAGGACGTCTTGCATACATTCAACACGCTCTGCAGCCATGGCTTTGAGTCACACTGATAAGATTCATAGGGGTGGTGACAGGATAAGGACCTCGGTACAGATTCACTTACATGACACCCATATCCTACCCTTTACACCTCTCCCTCTCCCTCTGCCCCACACTCGTTCTGCTTTGCTTTAACGGGCTTCTATAGTGCTATATAGTGCCCTTAGATGGAGGCGCAATGCATGTTGTCTGCTCAACAGTTTTAGATTTATGTTGAGTATTTAAAACAGCAGGTGGCTGGTCAGCAGTGCTGGGCTAATCTGAGACTGTGGGCGGGGTTAAAAAATGTATAATCATTGATTTTATATGCATCACCCTTCATGTCATAACAAATTAAGAATGACACCCTTTAATGATATTGTTGGTCAGCCTAAAATTAAAGTTTTGTCATTTACTCACCATCATGATGTTCCAAATCCATATAGCATGCCATATAAGCCATATAATCTAAATAAAATGCTACAAAACTGACAAAAAGCACCTTTAATATGACTTGTGTGCTCTAATAACAGGATTTCTCCACGTCTTTAAAAAGTCTTAATTAGTCCTTCCACAAATTAAAACGGTATAAAGGTATTAAATCAGAAAAGAAGGAAAAGAAGGTCTTAAATTCATAAAGCCATGGCATTAAATGTTGCATGCACTGCAAAAAATTAATGTTTTCCTCAGTATTTTTGTCTTGTTTTCCAATACAAATAACATTGAATCAAGATACGGTTGTTTGAGATGAAAAATGGAGACATGTAACAAAATTGAAGTGAGTTTATGTGGGGAATGAAAGTTTGTTTTCTCTTTGAATTCAGTAGATTTTTCTGAGCCCATTGGCAGATATTTGCTCTTTTTTGAATCATAAACCTTAATTAAACTCCTTCATTTGGATCAGTTTCACAGAAAACAAGACTTAGGTCATTTTGCTTCTCAAGTAAATGTATCTTGATTTAAGATTTAGACATTTGCGCTGGAAAACAAGACAAAAATGCTAATGAAGAACATCAGTTTTTGCAGTGTGATAAGAAGGTATGGTAAAAGCTATGAATTAAGATGACAGATTTTTAGTAATTATAAAAGGAGCACTCTTTGCGTGCTTTCTAGGCTATATATAATCCATTCAGAATTTGAATAAAAGTTTTGTTTTTCATAATGCTAAGATCCAGCAGCCAAAAATGGAGACATGTAACAAAATTGAAGTGAGTTTATGTGGGGAATGAAAGTTTGTTTTCTCTTTGAATTCAGTAGATTTTTCTGAGCCCATTGGCAGATATTTGCTCTTTTTTGAATCATAAACCTTAATTAAACTCCTTCATTTGGATCAGTTTCACAGAAAACAAGACTTAGGTCATTTTGCTTCTCAAGTAAATGTATCTTGATTTAAGATTTAGACATTTGCGCTGGAAAACAAGACAAAAATGCTAATGAAGAACATAAATTTTTGCAGTGTGATAAGAAGGTATGGTAAAAGCTATGAATTAAGATGACAGATTTTTAGTGATTATAAAAGGAGCACTCTTTGCGTGCTTTCTAGGCTATATATAATCCATTCAGAATTTGAATAAAAGTTTTGTTTTTCATAATGCTAAGATCGGACCAGCAGCCACATGGTGCAAAGCCACCCACATATAAATATGCGATTCACTCTCAAAATTGCAATGATTGACATTGTGATAACATGTCAGGAGTGTCTAGTGCCACCCTAGACCCCTCTCTGGCTCCGCCACTGTATTTTTCTTGCGCTTGAACCGATAAATACACACAAAATTATGTGTGTATGTCTTAAGTGAAGTACATGGTGAAGTGGTGAAGTGAAGTGGATGTGAATTATTGTATTGGATCCATGCATTCAGTCTTAAAGTGACAGCAGCCTATAAATACCTGCTGCTGTCTGTGTCATTTATGTTAACAAAAAAAACAAAACACAGTTAAAAAAAAATTATTATACAGTGTTATTATACAGTTAATTGTTACATTTCTATACCTGAATGCTACTATTTTATTTGTAACTTTTTTCTGTTGTATATATCTATGTTTGTAATTTGTGCATTTGTTCTTTATTTCATTACTAACTGTTCACTTGTTTGAACTTTATTAGTTAGGCTAGAAGTTTTTGCTCTGGTATCGAAGAAGTACTTCAAGTGTTCTTTAAGATGAGTGAGATCAATAATTAATTAAACTAAATCTGATTGGTTCTTTGTGTTTACAGGACCCGGAAATGGGCGATGCAGATGCAGGAGGAGCTGGTGCAGTTGATCGATGCTGAGACCGGCATACAAGAGCTCCAAAAAGTAAGACCACACATTTGTTTTTCAACACGCTAAACAAATTTTATGCAGCTATGAATATTTTATATACTTCCACAAAATAAAATACAAATGTGAGTCACATTAGCTTGATAATTAGTATATATCCCAGCTATAGAGTGCTACAGCGGCTTTAGTTCCGGAAGTATGTTGAAATCCGGACGCAAGTTGAAATAATGCAGGCTGATGGCTTCAACAAAAGCATATACCATTGATTAACAAAATCCAAGCTTATAGTAGATCATGTCTCAGTTTTAGAAGTTGTCCTTAAAAATCTATTTCCCTGTGCAGAAAAGGAATGTTTATATTTATATTTATATTTTCGTAATTAGTTGGTGCTTTTTCTATTTGCATGTGTTTTCTGAAGTTGCAGCGCGTTGAACTCTCTCGGCCACTGTAGCCACAACCGTTTTTACATTAGACTAATTTTGCAGGTACATATTTTATAAATGCTATGCTGTCTTTAAGTGTGACCCCGCCAACCGTTTTTACATTAGACTATTTATATTTATATTTATATTTATATTTATATTTTCTTAATTAGTTGGTGCTTTTTCTATTTGCATGTGTTTTCTGAAGTTGCAGCGCGTTGAACTCTCTCGGCCACTGTAGCCACAACCGTTTTTACATTAGACTAATTTTGCAGGTACATATTTTATAAATGCTATGCTGTCTTTAAGTGTGACCCCGCCAACCGTTTTTACATTAGACTATTTATATTTATATTTATATTTATATTTTCTTAATTAGTTGGTGCTTTTTCTATTTGCATGTGTTTTCTGAAGTTGCAGCGCGTTGAACTCTCTCGGCCACTGTAGCCACAACCGTTTTTACATTAGACTAATTTTGCAGGTACATATTTTATAAATGCTATGCTGTCTTTAAGTGTGACCCCGCCAACCGTTTTTACATTAGACTATTTATATTTATATTTATATTTATATTTTCTTAATTAGTTGGTGCTTTTTCTATTTGCATGTGTTTTCTGAAGTTGCAGCGCGTTGAACTCTCTCGGCCACTGTAGCCACAACCGTTTTTACATTAGACTAATTTTGCAGGTACATATTTTATAAATGCTATGCTGTCTTTAAGTGTGACCCCGCCAACCGTTTTTACATTAGACTATTTATATTTATATTTATATTTATATTTTCTTAATTAGTTGGTGCTTTTTCTATTTGCATGTGTTTTCTGAAGTTGCAGCGCGTTGAACTCTCTCGGCCACTGTAGCCACAACCGTTTTTACATTAGACTAATTTTGCAGGTACATATTTTATAAATGCTATGCTGTCTTTAAGTGTGACCCCGCCAACCGTTTTTACATTAGACTATTTACCCCCCGCGCATAGATAATGTCTTTTGAGACAATTTCCAGCAAGTAAACCTGAAACCTTAAACCCCTCTCTTTATCTTTTTCTATCAGATTTTCCTGCAGTTTCGGAACCACTATAATGTGAAACAAAACAACGCTACACAGCTGGTGGCAAAAGCTGCACGTGAAATCGAGAAACTTCTTGCCAGTCGTTCCAAAGCTCTAGAGGTAAGTAATGAGAATTATTACACATTATCATCTCATAATACAAAACATATAGCACCTTTAAGAGGTTTTGAGATATTTACACTGAATATACATGTGTGATTTGATGCAGTTTGGGTTATAACCATGCACAACAATGAAATTTGCTTTATAATCATGCATATTTCCTGTTGAGGTGTATTCCATGTGTCTCAGAATAGCATACTTGAATACTACTTTTTCTATTTCATCTGTATGCATAAAATACCTAGATGATCTACTACATTTGCAAAAATTAGCAGTGTACAACCAAAATGTGCTACATGGAAACATGTGCACAGTGATATGTAATAAATACTATATCTTTGATCAAAAAATAGTATATAGTGTAGATACAATGTAGTATGTACTAAGTTAGTGTTCCAAACATACTCATTGTTTTTCTCTGCTCCGTTCAAACCCTTCAAATATTTTATATTTTTAGTAAATTAGATCTTGCAGAAAGATCCAGCTTGGATCGACCTGCATTGATCCAGCTCTGATAAAACCGGGTCCAGAATGTTGGCAGGGCTGCTTGAAGCTGAAAGTTAATTAGTTCGTCGATACACGCTGTCCTTTTGATTTTCTTTCTTGATAAACTGTACGCTGTGTGCCCTAAAAGCTACATTTCAAGAGCATTTTCCATTAATGTATGAATAGAAATTATTATATATCATTATGCAGGCTCATTTTCCAAGATAGTGGAGAAATATTGCATGTTGTGTGTGCTTAAAGGGGTCTAGTCTTTGCAACTTTACAGATCTTCTTTATGCACCAAGAGCTTGTAACACTTCAAAGAGAAAGGAAAAATTGAAATAGCATCATATGACCCCTTTAAGCAGGGTTAGTCAGTGTTATAAATGTTTAACTCTTGCCCCTGAAGTGCAGGTGATGTATATGGCAGACTGTGTGGAGCTGCTTTTATTGGTCAGCATTACACACATCACTGACAGCTCACCCTGATGACTAAATGAAAGTATTGACCTTTCACTCTCTCTCTCTCTTACTGTCTCTTTCCTTTTTTTCCTCTGCTGGCTCTCGTCTGTCATGTTTAATTGGTCTGAATTAAGTGCTCTTGTTTTAATGGATATGGAAGCACTGGTGTGCCTCATATGATGGAAATAACTGCTCTTAGGTCATTGGATCTGTAATAGCTGACTGTGGTGTGAGGACAGCTTGGCTCGTTGCTTCTCTGTCCATTTGTGTGTATGTATTTTTGGCAGATTGTCTCTACCTTCAGTCACATTACCCAAACTAGTTGCTGTCCTCATGTCACCCCATTTAAAGTAGTCTTGATCCAGTGTTTTCCCTCTGCCGTCCACCAGCACAAACACAGGCTTGCTTGTGTTCTTTGCTCTCTTTATCACATTCAGAACAAAAAAGATTTCAGTGACTCATTGGAGTTTCTTGCGCATCCTGCCTATAATTAGAAGATTCACAAGAACATCAGGTTTGGCATCTCTAGTGAATCAAGAAGAAAATGCATTTAAATGCAGCTAATTCAATTTTGTCGTTAAGCACTGAAGCGTACTTGTTTACAATGTTTACTTTTATGGTAGAGTATATTGATTTTATAGTTTTATTACAAGAACTGCAAAGCTGAATTTTCAACAAAAGGAACATTTAATACTAAGAATACTAATTATTTTGATTGTCGAAAACACTTGTGCTGCCTTTTTGTGAAATTAATCCTATTCATCAAATAATCCTGAAAAAATGTATAATATAATAATATATAATAAATAAGGAGAGAAGTGGACGAAGAAAAAATGTCGGCACACCATGGCTCCAAAAAAAATAAATAATTATTGACAGACTCACAGAAATATGAGCACACAGGCTGTTCTTATAAAATATGTATTTTTTAAATTAATATTTTTGTAGAGTATATTGATTTTATAGTTTGATTAAATAACTGTTTTAAAGTGTAATTTATTCCAATGGTTTTTCAGCACAAAAAAAACAAACATTTAATATTAAGAATACTAATTATTTTCATTGTCAAACACTTGTGCTGCCTTTTTGTGAAATATTGTGATTTATTTGTTTTTGTTTATAGTTTGTGGAAACAGTAATTAATTTTTTCAGGTTTGTTTGATGAAACAGTTTGCTGAACTGTTGCATGCTGATTAGTGGCCTTGCATGCTAAAATAAATCAGACATGCATGCAACATAGTTTCTTTTTCTGTCTCTATAGCACAGCTGAAAGCTAAAGATATACAACCATTTTTTTTTTCAGACGGGACATGTAATCTTAGCAATTAATTTGCACACTTTTAGCAGGCATTTATACTTTTTTAAGTCTTACAGCTCAGGAACATTATTTATGGAGTCGCTCATATTCCAGTAAATAGCATAACAGGGAGTGAAGCTTTGGCCAAGGACAGTTGTAAGAGCAGATCTAGACATGTTTATCAGATAATCTCACCCTTCTCTTGACAGTCAGCACACATGACTTTGTACAATCTTAACTTATTCCTGACATCTGTTTGCAGAATCCGTTTTGCTTTATGTACAGTAAATAGTCAGTAAGTTATTGTGGCACCAGCTATCAGATTAACCTGCATCTTAAGTGGGCGGTGCTTGGTTGAATCACATTATCTTTAAACTCATCTACCAAGAAACATCTTATCAAAATAAACAGCTTTTTCTCGAGAACTCTTATTCCATAGCAGGAAGCCAACTGTCACTCTGATGATAAGCATATCGTGCCGATTATGTAGTGCTGTTCACGTTCCTGTTGTTCTTTCCTGAGTGACCCCTCGGGCGCAGGATGGCCACAGATCATGTCTTGTTCTAATCTATATCTGCTGGATGGGGCCTGACTGATCTGGAGGCCAAACGTGACTGTGGACCGCTGTGGTTGGATTAGACTGATCGATTGATTGGCAGCTCAGTTAAGTTGATCAGTGGGAGTCTTTAATTTGGAGCCATCCATCAGCAGCTGTCTGCGCGGTCGATGGGAGTTAACGGAGGTTGCTTGATGTGCGGTCGGGATGCTGTGTTGTCTAACAGGAAACTGAAGGTGCTGCCTGCTGATGGAGACTGTGTTATCCTAAACGTCAATCAAATCATGTAAACAGCAAATATGTCTCACTCATGCCTCTCTCTCTCTCTCTTGACTTTATTCCAATTACAGCAATTCAGTTTATAAACATGAACCTTTCCTTGTCAATCTCTGTTTCTTCAAGCTCTCGCTCTCCAGCTGTTTTCTGGACATTGCTTTTTTTTTTATCCTACTGACCTCCCTATACACCAATGAATTTCAACTAATTTAAAGAATAGGCCTATGTAATATTATACAACATAAAATGGAGCTATCATCAAATGTGGGTATATTTTGACCTTACAATAGTTGTTTTGGACTGCATTTATTAACCTCAAGCATTCAATCTTGTCTCCCAAGATATTATAAGAAAAAAAGTATTTTTTCCTTTTTTTATTTTTATTATTATTATTATTTCATTTTTTTAGAGTATATTGATTTTATAGTTTTATTAACAATTTTTTTCAATATAATTTATTTCTGTGATGGAAAAGTTGAAACATGTAATACTAAGAATACTAATTTAATTGTTGAAAACACCTGCCATGTGTTGTGAAATATTGTGCTTTTTTGTGGAAACTGTGAAACATTTTTAAGCATTCTTTCGTGAATAATAATAATAATAATAATAAAAAAAAATAAAAAAAAAATATATATATATATATATGAATGCTTAAATATATGAATGTTTTTTTAAGAATGCTTAAAATTTTTTTATATATAAAATAAATAACGCAGAGAAGTACAGTAGAAGAAAAAAGTAAAGTCAGCACACCATGGCTCCAAAACATAGTCATTTTTTACCTTACAATAGCCGTTTTGGACTTCATTTGTTGACCTCAAGCATTCAACCTGGTCACCCAAGGTATTATAAGAAAAAAAAGTTTTTTTTATGGGAAATATCAGTAAATGCAAATCAGCATCCCTGGTTTATTTATTTATTTGTTTGTTTATTTGTTTTCATTTATTTATGTTTTCATTTATTTAGTTCTTTTCATTTCTGTAAATTTAAATCTATTTTATTTTTAGACAATAACAAAATCACACAAATTGTGGTTTTAAACTGTATTTAGACATCTCAAGTTTTGGTTACAAGATTACAAATATTGAAACCTCATTTAAAATATAATATAAACTAATATACACAGATAATAAACACCTAATAAAATATTTATTTTGTTCTCTTGAGGTTGACATTTTTTTTAAAGTACCATCTTTCAATACCCATTAAAATGAAAAAAATAAATAAATGGCGTAGTGTTTTCTTTGAAACTGTTTTTACTCCGGAATCGCTAGTAAATTTAATAAATTATTACAAACAAACTGCAAGTAACACAAAACATCCTCCAGTAATCTTTGTTTTAAAAGTCATTTTTTACAGTGTATGAAATGAAGTTTAAAAATTAAATATAATTTTAAGAGCTGCCTAGCCTATTTTGTACCCAATTCATGAAAAGTGTCATATGCAGATGAAACTAAATGCAGTAACTAAAACCTAGTTAGTTTACCTCGTATAACCAAACTGAAATGGAAACTCCTAGTGACTCATAGGCAGGAACTACACAGATAATGCACAGGAGAATCAATTTGCACTGCTTTTCAGTGGAGTTTGATGTTATTGCTAAGATAAACCCACAAAACTTTACCAAGCATAAAAAAACACAAGATTTGAGAATAATAATTTTTAGTTTGATCTTTTTTTGATACTTTATACTTTATTACATAAAAATAGTGTATTTTACTCAACACCTCCTTTATGTCAGGAAAGTGTATGTGTCTTAAAGGGATAGTTTACCCAAAAATGAAAATTTGTTTATCTGCTTACCCCCAGGGCATCCAAGATGTAGGTGACTTTGTTTCTTCAGTAGAACACAAACAAAGATTTTTAACACAAACCGTTGCAGTCTGTCAGTCTTATAATGGAGGTGAATGGGAATCA